CACAAAGCATCCGGCGCAGCAGGCCGTTCCCTAAAATCCTGGTCGTTAAATGTATGTAACTGGCGATTTAGGATGCGGAAATTCGGGGTCAAAGAGGGTTCCTTCAAAGTTTTCTGTAACGGTTCGTTTAGAGCCTATAGGGCCCTTGGCTTAGATTTAGGGTTAAGTTCAGCGGACCCTAAACCTTAAGCCCCTAAACCGTATTAATTTCCTATTGGTTTCTATTGGTTTTTCATTGCTTTTTATTGGTATCTGATATGTTTTTATTGGTTTCTTATTAGTTTCTATTGCTTTTTTTATTGGTTGTTCATTAGTTTTTATGGGTTTCCTATTGGTTTCTGTTGGTTGTTCATTGGCTTTTATTGGTTTTTCATTGGTTTTTAATAGTTTTTATTAGCTTCCTATTGGTTTCGTTTGGTTTTTATTGGTTTGTATTGGTTTTTCATTGGTTTTTCATTACAATGCGTGCGTATGGAACGTATACTCTAAACCCCAAACCCTTAAACCCCTAAACCCCTACACCCTGAACCCTAAATAAACCCTAAACCCTAAACCCTTAATTTAAGCCCTAATCCCTAAACCCTAAGCCTTGCACCCTCAACCCTAAACCGTGCCCTAAGCCAGGATACGCGAAGCTTCACACCCGTCGTTGGCCAGCGCGTACGCATCGGCAACCACCTTTGTGCGAGCTCTGCGTTTGTCAGTGGCACAGCCAGAAACAGGACTGAGTGCGTGACAAGCTGAAGATATGGCATGTTGTGCTTCAACCTATCAGTGCAACAAGCAGCATCGATGCCTGAGGCTTCCAAAATACAGAGATATCAGCTGCGGCCTCGTGTCAGCAGGCCTTGTGCGAGGAAGTCGCTTGGCTTGAGACGGCTGCAGAAGTGACAACCGGGAGCAACGACCTCGACAACGAAGACGCAATCATTGTTGTCGGTTATAGGGGCTGGCTTCACAGAATAAAAACCAGAATTTTCTGAAAACCAGCTGAATCAAGGCGCACGACAATCCACCGAGGGAAGGTGTGGATAGTCGGTTTGATTCGACTGCTTCTGTTCAGTGCTCTTTTGTCGTATTGGAAGCTAAACTCTGAATTCGGCACGTTCGTGTTGGCTGTCATATCAAAGGTCTTATTACCGATTCCACTCGCTTCCCGTGTTAAACCCTAAAAACGGCGGGCGTCCGTTGCCGTTGGCTGACTCTGCTAATATTTGTTGTGCTAAGGAACTTCCTGGATGTGAGAGAAAGGCTAAGCGCTAAAGTCGCTCCTGCCGTTTGCCGTCTTTGTTACCAGCATTCGTGCCAAAAGCCGTTGCCTGTATTTACTTCATTAGACACTGTACTAGCTCCAGAGACTAAACCTTAAAATCGGCATATCGCCGCTGTCGTGGCTGCGGTTTTTAATAGAACTTTTAGTAAACACTGCTCTAGAGGCGACACCCTTGAATTAGCTCCAGAAGCTAAACCCGAAAATCGGCGGGCTTTTCTTGCCGTTGCCTGCTCTTCTCAATAGGACTCCTAGTAGACACTGTACTAGCTCCAGAGACTAAGCCCCAAAATCGGCGGGCTTTCCTTGCTGTTGCCTGCTCTTCTTAATAAGACTCTTGCTAAACACTGTAGCAGCTCTAGAGGCTAGACCCTAAACTCGACGAGCCTGGCTTGCCGTTGCAAGCTCTGATTGATAAGACTCATGCTAAACACTGTACTAGCGGTAGAGACTAAACCCTGAAATCGGCGGCCTTTCTTGCCGTTGTCTGCTCTTCTTAATAGGACTTCTACTAGACAGTGTACGAACTTTAGAGGCAAACCCCTAAAATCGGCACATCGCTGCTGCCGTTGTCTGATCTTCTTATTAGGACTCGTACTGAACAAGGTACTAGCTCTAGAGGCTAAACCCTGGAATCACTGGACCTTTTTTGCCGTGGCCTGTCCTTTCTGATAGGACTCCTGCTGAACACTGTAGTAGCTCCAGAGGCTAAACCCTAAAATCAGCATGTCGCTGCTGCCGCTGGCAGTTTCTGTTACTAGCATTTTTCCTAAACACCGTCCTAGCTCTAGAAGTTAAACCCTAAAATCGGCATGTCGCTGTTGCCGCTGCCCGCTCTTCTTAATTTTTTTAGGATTCCTAGTAAACACGGTACTAGCTGTAGAGGGCCTTCATAATAGGACTCCTACTATATTGAACTTTCGTTTCAAGTTGACAAGCCGGCTTCAAAATGTTCATAGTTTGCTGCCTGAAGATGCGGTCGTTGCGTGTTTTGAAGCTCTGCACATTCGAAAAAAGTCAAAAACGGTTTCTGAACGCGTTTCGGAATTTTGCGTCATCTCGAAAAATTTTCTAACTCGATTTTTAACTTTCGGCGATCGGATATTCAGACTCGCGGCCTCAAATGATGTGAATTATATGGTCGACAGTCGACAACCTCCAAAAGCGAAGAGAAAAAAATCCGACGTCCACGTCAGAAGCATTTTCGGTTTTTTTTCGCGTTTATCTCGATTGGGTGTAGACTTGTCTGGTCGAAAGCTTCCGAGAGCGTCAAGAACCTGGGCAAGGCTTGTTGCACGAGCCATCGTGCTATTCATCAGCAGAAAAACACACGTCAAAGTACGCTTCAGACATGTAAATTTCCAAAAGAAGCGTTTTTGGAGAAGACGTGGGTGTCTCTTGGCGACAAAAGAGAGTGGCGATGTGTGTAGGCTCAGCCCCATGCCCAGAGCCGAGGAGGCCGAGGCCGGCCGAGCCCAGACCAGGCGCTCCTCGGGTCCCGGGTCTGGCTCGGCAGCTCGTCTTTCTCTATGAAAAAAACCTATGTTTCTATAAAATTCTCTTAAAAATGAAAACCCGGCGGCAACCAACACACACCGATTTTAGGGTTGAGCCCCTAGGCCAAGTACAGCCTTTAGTAGGAATGCTATTACGAAGAGCAGGCAACGACAAGGAGGACAGGCCAATTGTAGGGTTTAGCCTCTCGAGCTAGTACACTGTTTACTAGGAATGCTATTAACAAGGGCAGGCAACGGCAAGGAGGACAGGCCAATTTTAGGGTCTAGCCTCTAGACCGAGTACACTGTTTACTAGGAATACTATTAACAAGGGCAAGCAACGGCAAGGAGGACAGGCCTTAGGGTTTAGCCTCTAGACCAAGTACACTGTTTACTAGGAATGCTATTACAACGCACCGTTTAGCTTCTACCATTAAACTAGAGATTTCAAGCTTTGTCCGGTCGTAGGCCATGGAACTGCTCAAGACATGGCCACTAAACGATACCGTCTTGAAGTCATCTCAATCCTTGGTTGAAATGTTGTCCGTTATATTACCTTTTAAACATATAACACACAGTAGCGAGCACACTTGCCCTTTTAGGGTTCAGCTGATCTGGCCGATTTAGGGTTTAGCCTCTAAGAGTTAGTACAGTGTTTAGCACCAAACTGTTAAGGAAAGCAAGAACGGCAAGGAGGACGCAGAGATTTTAGGGTTCAGCCTCTAGAGCTGGTACGGTGTTTAGTAGGGAAGCTATTAAGAAGAGCCGGCAACGGCAAGGAAGGCTAGCCGATTTTAGGGTTTAACCTTTAAACTTAGAACAGTGTTTGCGACGAAGGCGATTCAGAGTAGAAGTGACGGCAAAGAGAACGCATAGATTTTAAGGTTTAGCTTCTACCATTGAACTAGAGATTTCAGGTTTTGTCCGGTCGTAGGCCATCAAACTGCTCAAGACCTGGCCACTAAACGATAGCGTCTTGAAGTCATATCAAACCTTGGATGAGATGTTGCCTATTAAAATATCCATTAACAATATACCACACAGTAGCGAACACATGTCACTTTTAGGGTTTAGCTGATCTGGCCGATTTTGGGGTTTAGTCTCTAAGAGTTAGTACAGTGTTTAGCACGAAAACTATCAAGGAAAGCAAGTAATGGCAAGGAGGACGCAGAGATTTTAGGGTTTAGCCTCTAGAGCTGGTACGGTGTTTAGTAGGGAAGCTATTAAGAAGAGCCGGCAACGGCAAGGAAGGCTAGCCGATTTTAGGGTTTAACCTTTAAACTTAGTACAGTGTTTGCGACGAAGGCGATTCAGAGTAGAAGTGACGGCAAAGAGAACGCATAGATTTTAAGGTTTAGCTTCTACCATTGAACTAGAGATTTCAGGTTTTGTCCGGTCGTAGGCCATCAAACTGCTCAAGACATGGCCACTAAAAGATAGCGTCTTAAAGTCATATCAATCCTTGGATGAGATGTTGTCTATTATAATATCCATTGACAATATACCACGAAGTAGCGAACACACTTCACTTTTAGGGTTTAGCTGATCTGATCAATTGGCGCTGGCCGCGCGAAGGCGGCACGTTGTAGATGAAGGAAAGTGCTTGTTGCTGTCTGTCTTGTGGTGTTGATGTTCTTATCAGTCCGCATGAGCTACTGGTATCATACTGTTGCCCACGTGATACCCATAAAACGAAGGCGTGGAAAGTCATTTCAAGTCTCATTAAAAACGTGCCATTTAACAGGATTGCATATTGAGCCAGACAGGCGGTTGCCAAGTTCAGCAACGGATGGTTCACGTGCTGTGAGCAGGAGGAGACGATTGTGTTAGGGGGGTTTAGAGTTAGGGTTTAGGGTTTAGGGGGGTTTAGGGTTAGGGTTTAGGGGTTTAGAGGTTTGGGGGGTTTAGGTTAGAGTTTACTGTTTAGGTTAGAGTTTAGGGTTTAGGGTTCAGCAGTTCTGACCTTGAAGCTTGTTTTTCAGCTACCTTCAAGAATAAACCCCACCCGCCCATCGGTCGTGGTGCAGAGGCTGTTCGGAAGTCGTTGACCGTATAAGAAGCATGAGTCTCGGTTGTTTACCTGCGTCGCTGTATCTGCAACGTCGGCTTTTCGTCAGTCTTGCGGCCTGTACACATTTTCGAGCTTGGCTGTGGCATCCGCGAGTCACAGAGCAAAAGGTTCTAGACTGCACTCAGAATGCCATGTCGATTTTTTTTCTGCATGCGGCGCAAGGTCATGTTGCATCTGGCACACGGTCCGGCTCCTCCTGTCAGGCGAACTGGGCACCAGCAAATTCGCGGTGAGGCCGATCCTTCTCAGTCCTCCTTCACCGGCACAGGCTGAGGCTCGGCCAGGACCTAAGCGGCACGACTTTCAAGCAGCTCCTCTGGGTTGTGCCATTCTTTTGCCGCTTGGCAATCCAAGCATTCTCTTCGTAGCTTGTCCACTTATGCCGGATCCGGCTGCGCCCTGCATGGCCCTGCCTCAGCTGCCTCCGTGGCAGTCTCTGTGCCTTCCTGCAGTAGCTTGTGTCTGAGACTGAGATTCTGACGAGGTGCAAGTCTTGAACCGGCCTCCGCTTTGACCGGCTTGGATTCCTCGTCTTCTTTGCGGTCCTGCGCTCTGACCGTCGCATCTCAGAAGAACCGTCGCATCTCAGAAGAACATCATAGCATCGACCACACATCTCCACAATCCAGGTCTTGTCGAGCAAAGCCTTAAAATATAAATTCGAGCAAAGAATACAGCCACAACGAATCCCCTGAAAAGTCTCCTCCTGGTCCTCCGGCTCTGCCTTGATCCGCGTCTTCTTTTCGGCGCGTTCCTCTGGCGGGAAGATGTGGCACTCAGTGTCACTCCGTCCGATCAGACAGAACAAGCTCATTCCCTCTGCGGCGCCTCCGCATCGAAATCCGCGGTATCAAGCACACTTTTGGCGTTTGGACCCTCCCCAAGCCTGTCAAGCTTTTGCTTGCATGTGGTGCAGAACCATGCTTCGGGTAAAAACAGCTGATATGATCCGACCCTGAGCATGGACCCAAGGCCCACAAGGGATCTAACTTGATGTAGCTTCAGCACTGTAGAGCGGTTGAAGCTCTTGTCAGGACCAAACCCCACTGAGGCCATGGCGATAAGCCAACCATTGGCGTGCTGTCCGCATCTCCCTTGCTCTCGCCAATCTCCTTTGCACATGTTCGTCCATCTGGTGCGCAGTAGGTGGCGACACTTAGGAGAAATTGCTGTCCCATGTTGTGTCCAGCTAATTTTGTCGGCATGCTCCGCAGCTCCTTCTCAGCAGGCTCCGGCTCAGGTGGCGGAGCCAAAGCCAGGGTGCCATTCAGAATGGCCAGGAGCTGCCAAGCACGTGGAATCATCACGGAGCTGCTGATTGTCTTGTTGCGGGTGAGCACGTTTGCACATGCTAGCACAAGAAAGCACTTCTTTGAATTGAGAGCTGCAGTAGTAATGCTTCCCTCCAGGACGTACGGCTGGCCTCAGGAGTGGGCGGAGGTGCGGGTAGTTGGGCAAAGATGCCTGCCTCTGAACAGCAAGAAGAAATGAGGTTGTTTCGCCCGCAGAATGTCTCTCTCCCTCTCTCTCTGCCTAGTGTTGCTGCGTGCCCTCAGCCGGGCTTACACCTAACAACTCCACCTCGCTCCTCATTCCGCGTCTAATCCATAGAGCCCATGTATATATATAGCTGTATAGCTTGAACTTACACAATGTGTGCTAGAACACCTTCCCAAATTACTCTCTTACCGGCTGTAGTGGTGCGTGGACCCTTGGCTTGGTCTGTGCACAGACTCTGCATCGGCTTGCCTGTTTCTTTGAGGAAGGCTTTGGAGCTAAACAGTAGGATGGTGCCTGTAAGACGTCTTCGGTCTTCCCAGCGGGTGGCGTGGGGCCGACAGCAGCAGCATTTTCCGCACCCAGCTGGCGGATCAGATACGACGACAATCGTCTCCAGTCCAGAGAATTGATACGATGACGAAAAACTAATCCCTGTGACTAGGCACCTCTGCAGTATTTTGCAAAACTAGGGCTGTGCCAACAGCAAGAAGGGAATTCCCAGACTGTCCCAGCCAGACGGTCAACAGGAGTCCAGCAGCCTAGGCTCGAGGCGATGCCGCTACAACACTATGCCAAAGTCCTTGCCGGCTCCACACCGACGCGCTTCGGCAGCAAGTCGCTAAAGGACGTGTCGCCGGGCCGTGCCCGTGACCAGAAGCGGGTGGAATAGTCCTGGCAAGTGCAGCAGCATGATAGCTGTTCCCGGTTCGTACCTTCTTCCAAAACAACTCATGTCCGACGCTGGTGGGTAGTTTGCAGACCTGCATCGCTGGAATGTGCACATCTGCCCTGTGCTGGCCGTTCGTGACACATCTGCTACTGCATGCGCTTTGTCATGCGGATGGATCCTGTGCGACACATCCCCACACAAGCGCGATCTGCTGTATCCTGGGGCCCTTTGGGCTCCCCGGCCAGGTCGCGAAATGCTACGAGTTGCCTGTTGCCAGCCAAGCCAGAGCTTGCCAAAGACGTTCGTCCAAGAGCAACAGCGCACCTGCACGCAACATTTACTGGGATCTAGTCTGCAGTTGCGCGAGGGAGCAAACAATGTGCACAGGAAGCAACTATGGCAAGCTGATTCAAGAGGCACCAGTGTGGGAAGTCTGCGGCAACTCTTGTAGTGTCACGCGGCTTGGCCCACTCAGGACATCGCCCAGCCACCTGCTGCCGTATCTGACTGCTGCACACGCTACACTCTAATTCCTGGGACTCTCCGCATTCATTATTAGCAAATAATATGCTCCCGGCCATCCAGATCCTAGAGGGTTTGGGCCCGAGGCGGCACTTCAACATGATTGGCCACAAATCAAGGTGCCACAATCGGGTACAAGGTCGTATGTGCACTGCTAGCCGGATTTTGAAACTTCGCGACACTTGCCTTACGCATGCTGGCGTCACCATTGTATCCTTCTCCCCGAAAAAGATCTGCACAGCTTGCTCGGAGGATAAGGCCGGGCTGAGCCCGATGTCCTCGCGACTAGTCTACACAATGTGATGACGTAAAGCACACGTTTGAAGCGACATAGTAGCCAAAAGGTCCACAAGTCCTTGTATGAAGCCAAGAGCACAGGCAAGTCCAACGCATCGCCAGAACCACTCTCACTGCTTGCAACGCCTCGTTGCATTTCCATGCAAGATGAGTCAGGACTTTCGACACGCCCATTCCCCACATGAGCTGCAAAAGTCGTATTGCACGCATAAATGCATTCCGCGGACTCCTAGGAAGATGGGCAACTTACTGTCTTTTCGGAACTGCAGAAGACTTGATTTTTCACAGTGTGCCAACCGCAAAACCAGAAAGTTGCCAAAAGGCAACTCTTTGTGCTTTTGACCCGTGACCTTGATAGTTTGCTCCCTACACAACAAATGTCCTCTTCAGGCTCACGGCTTGCGCAAAACATGAAAGGTCTTGTAGGCTCCATTGAAAGTATTCAGGCATCCGGACAATATGTAAGTTTGAATGAAAGTACATGCTTGCTTGGATGGGTGGACGCATGGATGGATGTATGTCTGTATATGCGCACCTATGCACATACGTATGTCGCACTATGTCTGTATGTCTGCGTGCGTGACTGTATGTCGGCATGTATGTATGTACGTATTTATGTATCAACGGGAATCTCGCAGAGCCCCGTTGCCTCGCAGGATATGGCAGACAGTACGCCTTCAAAGGGCAGCGGTGCAGGGAGTGTGGCAGGTGGCAGTGGCCCTCCTATGATAAAACGGCAAGTGGAAGGTATGCACTACCCGCTTCGAGTGATTCTTGCCTTTGCGTAGGGTACTTGGATCACATCGAACAGCGGTTCGACCTGGATGCCACGGCTTCGATAGATGACTGGCATGAGGGCCCTATTGCGGAAACGTGTTGGCATTTTCCCGCTGCCACCATGCCGTGGTCAGCGCTGACGGGAGGTTGGTGAATGTTGCGCCTGATGCGCGCCAATTATGCTCCCGAGTGCAGATCCTTGAGTGCGTGTGATGATGAGGGGCTTTTTGAATGCGGTCGGCCAGCAGCTGCCAGAGGCCCGGATCATCATGTTTGCCTCCGTGCTGGTTGCCATGTTGCTAGAATGTTCTATTCCATGGCGCGCGCACATTTGTGCACACATACATACACGCACACATACATATGTCGTGTTTCGTTTCAGCTGCTTCGTGGTGATTCGCAGGGGGCTTATAATGAAGGATTGTGGATCATGGAGACGGCTTTTGGGATCCATGTGTCGGTCGGGTAAATTTCGTTGTCTCCCTCAGGGCCTGGGCATAAACTCTGGGCAAGGCTGATTTCTGTGCCGTCGGTAGTCGCCGCATACATACAGCCCCCCTTTGAGCATTGCACACGTTTCATTACATGCAGATTTTGTTAGGCTGCATCCGACTTGGATTCAGTGCCTCTGAAAGTGAAAGTGTGTATCAGCCGTAGAGAATGAAGAGGAACATTCCCCAGCGAAAGTTCGTACTAGCTGGAGATGCCAACATGCGAGGGCTGTTGCAATGGCCACTGCGTTTGCGACGGCAATGAAGATAAGCATGCCCAAAGCATTGCACAGAATTACATGACAGTTCTGAACCGAGCCTCGCCACGCAAAAAGGGCGATGATTTTCTGGGAACTACATGGAAAGTGTGTCCTTGCCAAGTTTCTTTCCGAATAGCAAGTTGGGGCAACTCCGCGCAATGGGATACGGTGCTTTCCGAAGTGAAGTCTATTTTGGGCAGCTTGATCGCGGGTTTCAAGGGACTCGTATCTTCCCGTGCTGGAGTCTAGACGCGTGTGCTCGGAACAAAGATGTGGCATACACGTTCGATTGGTAGCTGGGCACACGCCGCGAGCAACACATTTTCGGTGTGAGGCTGCCAGGAACATGAGACACAGTGGCTTGGATCAGCTACTTCTGTTTTGAAGACGAGCCAAGTTTGTATGATACGGCGGAGTCGCTCGTGCGACAGAGTTGGCAACTTACGTGGGATTATTGGTTTCGACAAGAGCAGGGCGGCACGTTTTCTGTGCACAGGTTTCAAGCATCGTGCTTCTTGTACCGCTTTTCAAGATGGGTGCATGACAAGCAAAGCCAGCCCCTCAGATTCAGATACATTCGTTTCGAACTCGGCTGACCCGGAGTCTGGCAAGCCTTAGCAAACGTTTGGGTTTGGTCTTCCAGGCCGGTCACTTGTGTTGCGTTTGCCGCACCATGGCTTATGCACAAGCTGGTCTTCGGATGTTGTGCAACAAGGCTGCTTAAGCTGTGTGATTTTGCAGGTCCATCCGAAAGGACAAAGTGGTTTCGCGTACGGACCCGTTCTACACGTGCAAATGACTTGTGTGGAGCCGGCTGCCACAGAGGCAAATGCAAACGAATTCGATTGGCTGCTTCGGATGACATTGTGGACCAGGTACTCGCAGTGCTTCACATTGCAAGGCCTGCGATCGCGAGTGTTCCAACTTGTCGTTGTTGGTACCGCTCACGGACGAAATTTCTCTGTTTCAATACTGAATGCCCCATTGCCCCCATTGCCTGGTTTTGTCAGGGAACTTCTGGTTGCGGCGCAGAAACGGGTCCCACTTATTTGTTTGCAGTGGTCGTCTGCTGGTCTTGGCTTGCTGCAAATTGTCAGCGACTTCATCCGGGGTTCGCTTGATCCACAGCATCATGTTGGTGGCATAGGTGTTCCTTGCACCTCCCTTGTCCAATGCGTGCGTCAGCCTACTCGCAAGATTAGGGCTAGCGCGAGATGCCTTGAGAACATGATGCGCCTTGTCAATGCGCAAAGACTTTGAGCTGTGAGTTTACCGACTTTTCGGAATTCTCGAAAATCAAAATTCGAGCTTTTCGCTTAGCGTCAACACGCACTGGCTAACGGCTAGAGTTTGGTTAACACTGTGGTTTCCGCAGAGTTTCCGTCACCCATTGAGGTTTATCGCAAAATAGTGCCTCAGATCTTATCTGCGGCTGCAAGTCTGGCACGCGCACGCTTTGGTTCCAACTGCACTGTGCAAACACGAAGGCCCCAGGCAAGAGCAAGGGCACTTGTGGTTCCAATAAGGCTCCTATGTCCCATTTCATCCCACTTTCCTTGCAGGGTGTTTCAGTTTGTGAAGCTCGTGCTGCAGCGACAAGACTTTTGCCGACGGAGCATTCGGGATGTTGTTCTGGTAGTGAGCACATACTCTTGTTCATGGGTCACTGATGTTGCTAATTGCTATTTTGCGCCGGACTGGCCTGCCTAGACCGATTCCCCTGGTATTAGCGCTTGAAGCGCTTAGCGTCCCACTGCTCATGGAGACACAACACAACTGAATGCTGCGGAAGGATCTCCGAAAACACTGTAGACTTGAAGTGGTGAGGCCCATCTTGCGGGAATGTGATTCTTTGGCGGGAGAGGACGTGCACAGTAAGATTCTCCGCAGAGTTGAATTTTCGTTGACCGATCTTACAAGCACCTGCTTGAAACTTCGAACCATCATCTTTCCAAGCTGCTCAGTTGCAGTTTTTGGAAATGAACATGCCGATACTGCAGCTCCTTCTTCGGTATCTCCTATAGGGCCACAGGAGTCATGACCCTGCCGGCGACACAGCAAGGTGCGGCAGCTGCAGAGCTTGCAAGCTCGGTGAACAGCAAGTTTGACACCGCGGTAAATGCACTGCAGACCATATTTGTGCACTTTCCATGCGTGCTAAGCCACTGCAGGAACCGCCAGCAAGCTCTTGAACCAATCTGCATCGCTAGCCCGACGACAAGTTGACAAGTCTGCACCTTTTGGGGGGCCAAACTCAGGACGACTCACCCACCGTTCACACGCATCAGGCAACCTAGCCTGGACACACCAAGTTCCAGCACCAAGCCAAGCTTGTGTTTTAGCATCGTCTGGGTTGCAAATTTGTGGTCCGTGACAGGCTCTCTGACTGGCCGCTGCATAGGCGTCTGCATGACATCCACCAGAGATCGCTGTCAAATTTAACTGCGCCCTACAAGTGGAGCAGGAGGGATGCGCAATGACCTTGCGTGCGATCTTTCTGGATCGCTGCATGCGCTTAGCAGGCCAAAGATCTCCATCCGTGCAACAACCCCACCAGTCGTTGCCTCCAATGCTCGAACAAGTGCCTCAACTTCCGCTCGAGGCACTGACTGGCGCAAGCTGACAAGGTTTCCAACAGCCGAGCCATGCAGCCGTAGCTGTCAACGATGACAGCTGGGACTACCGCCCAAGTGCACCCCGGCGAATGCTGGGGTCCGTCGTGCTGGCACCTGGGCCTCCAGAGCAAAGACACGAGCACGCATCGGTAACTCAACAGGCCAACTCCCAGCCAGCAGGCCTTCTAACTCAACATCGTCACTTTGGATGTTGCCATGCTGACTCTAGGCTTTGGGGACGCGACCACGCAGCCAGAAACACGCTTGAGTGGATGTGTGGTTTCCAATCCTCAAGGGTTTCAAGCCCGACCTGAGGACACTCCCACAACCTGTGACGAAGAGTGTCGAGAAACTTCTCACAAGCAGGAACCAAATAAGGTTCCTTGTACGTGTCAACATGCGCAAACAAGACTCCTTGCAACATCATGTCATGGTAGGCAATTCGACGTGGCTGGTGCTTGAGTAGCCACTTACTCCGTCTGTGTGCAACGGTCAAATCGGGCAAGTGACCGTCTAAGCCAGCTGACCCTTGATGGCTACTCACAGTTGACCAGAGGAAGTGCTCAACAGCCTCAAGCAGTACAAGCCTCAGCTGGGCTTTGCGCTCCGGGTCGTCATAACAGAGCTGGACAGCAAGTCCCCGTAACCAGTTATCGAAAGTGGAGGCATCCCAGGCCATAGGGCTTTTCACCAGCTTCCACGGTCTCTTGGCTTCAGCAAGGATATTAGAAGCCAAGTGAGTCTCCTTTATTGAGTTGAGGAAAGGGCCTTCTAACCTGCGCCATATTCTCATAGAGCTTGACCCGTGCAAGCACTTGCCCAAGCCGCAGTTTGTACGCAGGATGTTGATTCGTCCAGATGATCGTGCGCAACATCCTACTGGCAACTGAACTTGGCAACTGCTTCAACCGGCGGCTACCGTGCTACATGATCTCGCAGACAGTAGCAGGCTTTCAATTTGTAACACTTCAACCGCGATTACA